CCAGGGTGCCAGGTGGGAGGGCGCACTGGCCGGGACAGGCCGCCGGTTTTCAGAGCTCAGACTTCGTTGCCGCTCAAGTTTCGGCAATTTTCTCCACTTGTCGCTGTCTGTCTCTTTGCCCTTTTGTGTCTGCTCCAATCCTCCCACGTCTCGCCTTTCTTTCCTCTTTTTCCTCCTTCACCGCTTTGCTCCTGCTTTTTGTTCCTCTCCTTCCTCCTCTGCCACTTTGAAAGACTAATTTATTTTCCTCTCTACTCCTCTTTTTCCTCACACCTTTCTTTTTAAATTTAAGTTCTTTATTGTTTAATGTATTACATAAGTCTCCTTTTTCCCCCATTGATCTCTCCCCGGCCGCCCCCAACCCCAGCACATGCCCTCAGACCCCCCCTCCCTGCCCGTGTCCATTGGTTATGCTCACATGCATGCATACAAGTCCTTTGGTTGATCTCTTACCCTCACACCACCTCACACCTTTCTCTCCTTCCTCTTCTGGACTATATCCCATCCTTTGCCCCGTTTTCTCCTCCAAGGAAGGTGGCTTCGTGGAGAAAGCAGAGTTTGGAATGAGACAAAGCAAAGCATCATTCTGACCCTGCCACCAACCACACCATTACTGAATGACTTTTTAAAAAAAATATATTTGTATTGATTTCAGAGAGGAAGGGAAAGGGAGAGAAAAAAAAAACATCAATGATGAGAGAGAATCATTGATCGGCTGCCTCTACACGGTCCCCGGCCCTTGACCGGACAGGCTGACGCTCTATCCACTGAGCCAAGCCAGCTAGGGCCTGAGTGGCCTTAGATAAATAACTATCACTCCCTTACCCCCACCCACCCCAAACAGTTTAAGGTGGCTCTCACTGAATCTCAGGGCTTGGACTGGACATTCCTCAGAGGTCTGGTAGGTTCATCTGTTAGTCTTGCCCAGGCTATGCTCTCCCAGCCTTAACAGGGCTAGCTTCTCCTTGGTGATACCAGGTTCAGTTCTGTGGGCAAGGTGTGGCCTTGGTGCTTGCTAATTAGGGAGTAGCAATGGATAGCACAGATGTCCCAAGGAACATGTGGAGTCAGGTCAGGTTGTTTGGGTGCCCGTGAGGGCCCTAAACCCTATCACACAATATGCTCCTAAGATAAATCTGACCAGTCATGTCTCTGCTTAATGGCTCCTGCTTAAAATTCTGATTGCCCTCAGGAAAAAGGGCAAGCTCCCTTGCCTGGCACATAGGACTTTCAGGATCTGACCGTGCCTTAATGTCCAATCTCCTAGTGGTTTCCTGCACACCTCTGGCCTCTCTTCAGACAGTAACATATTTCTAGCCAGTCTTCATGTTTTTTTTTAAAATATTTTTTTACTGATTTCAGCGAGGAAGGGAGAGATAAATAGAAACATCAATGATGAGAGAGAATCATTGATTGACTGCCTCCTGCACGCCCCCGACTGGGGATCAAGTCTGCAACCCAGGCATGTGCCCTTGACTGGAATGGAACCAGGGACCCTTCAGTCCACAGGCTGGCTCCACGGAGCCAAACCCGGTAGGGCTAGCCAGTCTTCATCTTGTCAATTTCTACTCATCCTCCTAAGCTCCACTAAGAGGCCTCATTATCTCTGGGAAGCTGTTCCTAAACTCCTGAGTTAGCCAGATGTCTAGCCTCTTGCCCCACAATCCTCCTGTGCACACACTCTATTACCCACACACTATATTGAAGAGATCAGCTTATATGTTGTCCCTATAATGCTAGGATTTAGGAGGGCAAGTATCATATCTCCCTCATGTTTCTATTCCTAGGCATAATGTAGGTACTCAATACTGAAATCTAAGAGGGAGATGTTCTGCCTGAGATGATTGAGGTTAGCAGGGTCTAGGGCAGTGGTCAGCAAACTGCGGATCGCGAGCCACATGCAGCTCTTTGGCCCCTTCAGTGTGGCTCTTCCACAAAATACCGACTTCTGCGCATGGGCCACGAAGTTTCAATCGCACTGTACATGCGCGCCTGCACGTGGTATTTTGTGGAAGAGCCACACTGAAGGGGCCAAAGAGCCGCATGTGGCTCGCGAGCCGCGGTTTGCTGATCACGGGTCTAAGGCATTGCCATCTCTCTCCTCCTCATCTGTAACACACAATCACATTCATGCTTTTAGGTTGGTTAAATTTTGGAGGTATGTGGGAATGGAGATGGGAGAGTAGGGAGTTTTGGTTCACTTGGAGGATTTTCCAAATTTTGGCTATCTAGGACCTCTTTGTCTGAGATAAACCTAAGAGACCAAATCCCAGTTTTCAAATGAAGTTGGAAAATGGCTCAGAGGTACTGTGGAAAGAGGTGCTATCGTGGTTGTATCTTTTCCCTCTCTCTTTGGGTGAAAGAGCAAGATTTTCAGCTGGACCTAGAGACCAGGAGCCCAATGTGCAGGTGCATGAAGTTGTTTAGGAGTTCTTCAGGTCTGATGGGTTCTTCAAATTAGAGAATCCTAGCACGCGGATGGTCTTTGGATGTCTGATTTTGAGACCACATTTCTATGGGTTTAGGTATATGGACTTGGGTCATCTATAAATGGGAGGAACTAGGGATAGAGTTGGTTTCTTTTTTCACTACTTCCCAGAAGTCTCTTCAGGTCTGCAGGGACATCTGGGCTCCATTCCAGGAGACAGGCTAGGAATTCCACTAGTCAATCTGCAAGAAAAAAACCCCACCCCATTTTACTTTCACTTCTAGATAATTCTAAATATCCTAGCAACCTCTATCATCTTGTGCAAGAGGAGAGGCACCTGGGGGTAGGAAAGTGAAGACTGGGGTGGACATTCAGCCTTTAGGCTTCTTAGTATGTTAAGGCAAACAGGGAAGGCTTCAGTTTCCTGTCACTGATGTGGACTAACCCGTGTGATTAGCTTTGTTCCAGGTAGGTAAAAAGTGTCCAAGGCTTAGTATGAGAGGCAGAGCTGGGAGTCACAGTCTGGTAGACTAAGACATAAGAGATAGTGAAGGGCAGTGGAAAAAAAAAACTGAGCTGGCGACCAGGACATCTGGGTTTGTCTTTCTGCTCTGCCAACATGCAGTTATGCAAACGTGGGTGCTGTCTTTCCACTCTGGGACTTGGTTTCCTGCTCTGTAAAATGAAGAGACCTGAATTAGGTACCCAAGGTTTCTGCCACCTCTCGTTTTTTTTTTCTATTTCTGCATGACAGGAACGGGGTACAAGACACAGAAACAGATGGGACAGACAGCTCTATGAGAAGCCATACAGGGCAGTGAGAGTGGGGGAGGGGAGGTTGGAATAAATTGTGTGCTGATCCTAGGATGGAGGGAGCCCAGAAGCTGCTTCCTGTCGAAGTGTTCTCTCTCTCTCTTGTTTTTTAAAAATACATTTTTAAAATTGATTTCAGAGAGGAAGGGAGAGATTGAAACATCAATGATGAGAGAAACTCATTGATCCACTGCCTCCTGCACGCCCCTTACTGGGGATCGAGCCTTTGACCGGAATCGAACCCGGGACCCTTCAGGCCTCAGGCCGATGCTCTGTCCACTGAGCAAACCCGCTAGGGCTCCAAGTGTCCTCTTAAGGGGCCCGGTTTTGGTCCAGCTGATTTTGACTGGGAGTGGCCGGGGTGGGACAGGGAGGAGGGAGTAGAGTCGTTCGCTCAAGCTCTCAAAACGAACCCCGCCCCCTTTCCAACAAATGTAAGCTTTCCTCCCCATAATGCCCAGCAAACACTTCCAAGCGCACTGCAACCGAACTCTAGCTAGCTCCACCTCTCCAACCGCCCAGCACAATTTCTCCCTTTTTATTGGCCTTTATTACTGTCACTCAGAGAGTCCTTATATCCGTTGGTTGTCCCTTACCTACCCTTTTCTTTCCCTTTTAATCTCTCCTCCTTAGGCGCAACCCATCTCTCGAAGACAATTTCCTTTCTTCGATTGGGTAGCTGGGATGCCACTTTTCACGGTGCGGAGTTGTGATTGGCTGTGCGCGTCAGGGCTCGCGCAGTTACCAGGCAGCGGGCTAGTCTGAGGCTAGTTACCACGTCAGTGCGCTGACAGGCAGGGTAGCCGGCTCCACCGCCCGTTCCGGCCGACTCTTCCCGGCCGCTGTGTGGTCCCTGATTGCGGCCTCAACTGCCAG